TTTTGGGCAAAAATTAAGTTTTCTCCAATCTTCTCAAAACTCTGGATTCTGATAGAGGGGCATGAGACTTTGACCTGAGTGCAAAAATGGAGGCTCTAGACCCTTCCAGAGCTGAGATATCGAAACTCAAAATTTCGACCGAAAAAAAAAAACGACAGTGTTACCCTTACGTTTTTTTTTTTTGGGCGAAAAATTAAGTTTCTCCAATCTTCTCAAAACTCTGGATTCTGATAGAGGGCCATGAGACTTAGACCTGAGTGCAAAAATGGAGGCTCTAGACCCTTCCAGAGCTGAGATATCGAAACTCAAAATTTCGACCCAAAAAAAACGACAGTGGTACCCCTTACGTTTTTTTTTTTTCGGGCGAAAAAATTAAGTTTCTCCAATCTTCTCAAAACTCTGGATTCTGATAGAGGGCCATGAGACTTAGACCTGAGTGCAAAAATGGAGGCTCTAGCCCCTTCCAGAGCTGAGATATCGAAACTCAAAAATTGGGCCCGAAAAAAAAACGACAGTGGTACCCCTTACGTTTTTTTTTTTGGGGCGAAAAATTAAGTTTCTCCAATCTTCCCAAAACTCTGGATTCTGATAGAGGGCAAGAGACTTAGACCTGAGTGCAAAAATGGAGGCTCTAGCCCCTTCCAGAGCTGAGATATCGAAACTCAAAAATTCGGCCCGAAAAAAAAACGACAGTGGTACCCCTTACGTTTTTTTTTTTGGGCGAAAAATTAAGTTTCTCCAATCTTCCCAAAACTCTGGATTCTGATAGAGGGCCATGAGACTTAGACCTGAGTGCAAAAATGGAGGCTCTAGCCCTTCCAGAGCTGAGATATCGAAACTCAAAATTCGGCCCGAAAAAAAAACGACAGTGGTACCCCTTACGTTTTTTTTTTTTGGGCGAAAAATTAAGTTTCTCCAATCTTCCCAAAACTCTGGATTCTGATAGAGGGCCATGAGACTTAGACCTGAGTGCAAAATGGAGGCTCTAGCCCCTTCCAGAGCTGAGATATCGAAACTCAAAAATTGGGCCGAAAAAAAAACGACAGTGGTACCCCTTACGTTTTTTTTTTTTTTGGGCGAAAAAATTAAGTTTCTCCAATCTTCCCAAAACTCTGGATTCTGATAGAGGGCCATGAGACTTAGACCTGAGTGCAAAAATGGAGGCTCTAGCCCCTTCCAGAGCTGAGATATCGAAACTCAAAAATTCGGCCCGAAAAAAAAAACGACAGTGGTACCCCTTACGTTTTTTTTTTTTGGGCGAAAAATTAAGTTTCTCCAATCTTCCCAAAACTCTGGATTCTGATAGAGGGCCATGAGACTTAGACCTGAGTGCAAAAATGGAGGCTCTAGCCCCTTCCAGAGCTGAGATATCGAAACTCAAAAATTCTGCCCAAAAAAAAAACGACAGTGGTACCCCTTACGTTTTTTTTTTTGGCGCGAAAAATTTAAGTTTCTCCAATCTTCCCAAAACTCTGGATTCTGATAGAGGGCCATGAGACTTAGACCTGAGTGCAAAAATGGAGGCTCTAGCCCCTTCCAGAGCTGAGATATCGAAACTCAAAAATTTGGCCCGAAAAAAAAAAACGACAGTGGTACCCCTTACGTTTTTTTTTTTGGGGCGAAAAATTAAGTTTCTCCAATCTTCCCAAAACTCTGGATTCTGATAGAGGGCCATGAGACTTAGACCTGAGTGCAAAAATGGAGGCTCTAGCCCCTTCCAGAGCTGAGATATTGAAAACTCAAAAATTCGGCCGGAAAAAAAAACGACAGTGGTACCCCTTAGGTTATTTTTTTGGGGCGAAAAATTAAGTTTCTCCAATCTTCCCAAAACTCTGGATTCTGATAGAGGGCCATGAGACTTAGACCTGAGTGCAAAAATGGAGGCTCTAGCCCCTTCCAGAGCTGAGATATCGAAACTCAAAAATTCGGCCCGAAAAAAAAAACGACAGTGGTACCCCTTAGGTTTTTTTTTTTTGGGCGAAAAATTAAGTTTCTCCAATCTTCCCAAAACTCTGGATTCTGATAGAGGGCCATGAGACTTAGACCTGAGTGCAAAAATGGAGGCTCTAGCCCCTTCCAGAGCTGAGATATCGAAACTCAAAAATTCGGCCCGAAAAAAAAACGACAGTGGTACCCCTTACGATTTTTTTTTTTTGGGCGAAAAATTAAGTTTCCCCAATCTTCTCAAAACTCTGGATTCTGATAGAGGGCCATGAGACTTAGACCTGAGTGCAACAATGGAGGCTCTAGACCCTTCCAGAGCTGAGATATCGAAACTCAAAATTTCGACCCGAAAAAAAAACGAAAGGGGTACCACTGTTGATGTTTTTTTTCGGGTCGAAATTTTGAATTTCTCTGATCTTCTTGAAACTCTGGATTCTTATAGAGGGCCATGAGACTTAGACCTCAGTGCAAAAATTGAGGCTCTAGACCCTTCCAGAGCTGAGATATCGAAACTCAAAATTTCGACCCGAAAAAAAAACCTAAAGGGGTACCACTGTCGGTTTTCTTTCAGATTGAAATTTTGAGTTTCTCTGACCTTCTTGAAACTCTGGATTCTTAGAGGGCATGAGACTTAGACCTGAGTGCAGAAATGGAGGCTCTAGACCCTTCCAGAGCTGAGATATCGAAACTCAAAATTTCGACCCGAAAAAAAAAAAACTAAAGGGGTACCACTGTCGTTTTTTTGGGGGGGGGGGTCGAAATATTGAGTTTCTCTGATCTTCTTGAAACTCTGGATTCTTATAGAGGGCCATGAGACTTAGACCTGAGTGCAAAAATGGAGGCTCTAGACCCTTCCTGAGCTAAGATATTGCGATCCCACGTAGCATTTATCACATTATAAACCACTATTTTTATAATGGGATAAATGCTACGCGGGATGTCCATATCTCAGCTCTGGAAGGATCTAGAGCCTCCATTTTTGCACTCAGGTCTAAGTCTCATGGCCCTCTATCAGAATCCAGAGTTGCAAGAAGATCAGAGAAACTCAAAATCTCAACCTGAAAAAAAACGACAGTGGTACCCCTGTCGTTTTTTTCAGTGCGAAAAAATAGGTTTCTCCAATCTTCTCAAAACTCTGGATTCTGATAGAGGGCCATGAGACTTAGACCTGAATGCAAAAATTGAGTCTCTAGACCCTTTCTGAGCTGAGATATCACTCCACCTTCCCTTATGAGACCCTCCATCACTCCACCTACCTTTACGAGACCCTCTATCTCTCCACCTGCCCTTATTGCCTCAGATTGTGAAGCGCAGCGCAGCAACAAGCTCTTGGACGAAGGCACAGTCACTGAGATGGCAGTAGGGTTTGGGGTTCAGCGCCTGTAAATACATGCTTGTAGTTTTAATAAAGCTTTGTTTCATGTGTTGTTGACTTGTATATACATTTATTTATTGTGCTGGTTACTTTTATTTGTTCTTTTACTCATTTATTCATGTTTCTTATTGTTGTCTGTCTATAAAATATACTGTAATTATTTAATTAATGTATTCAATTAATTCATCGATTGACTGATAATTGAGATGTTTCACTGCATTTAGCAATATAAATGTATTCATGCATAACTGTCATATGACAAAACAAATTACATTTTGCTTGTTATATTAAATTATATTTTTAGTATATAAAAAAGTTTTATAATTAAGTGTTGGTCAGCATTTAATATTATTATTTTGTTTTACGTTTTGGGGTGGGCTAACAATGCAATTCATTCTAAGGTAATATTATTTTTTAAGGAGTGATACTTAAAATTTTTTTTAGTATAAAATCAACAGTTTTCTCCAAGAGAGATCTTCGAGTAGCTGCCCATCTCCTTTGTGCAGACATTACAAACGCAGAGGAAAACTGTTCTAGGTTGTGCTGTCAAGTTATTGATGTTATGAAGTGTTAGTGCACTTGTTGCTCTGCTCATTTAATTTAAATTTATTACATACAAGATCATGAAAAGATACCATAGTATAATAACAATCATAATGACAAAACAGAAAATATAAAGATCATTGGTTTGTGGACATCATAATATGACATTATAAAATTATATTTATACACTAGAAAAAAAAACAATAGCAAGGCTACATATCTTCATAATAATTCTTCATAATACATAAAAAAAATCTGAGGGATGAAACAAGGTATCCATCAATAAAAACATAAAGGAGAAACTTTTTGAGTATAAAATAAAGAAATTAACAACATATTCAAGAGATGACGATTTTGGGGTTTCTTAATAAAAAAAAAAAAAAAATATATATATATATATATATATATATATATCGTTAAAAGAATGAGACTGTTGGTCACATTAGTAGGGTTTAAATATAACAACTTAAATCAACCCTAAATGTATTCAGAAACTAAATGGGCAGCTGTTTCT